ACAATATCGATTGCCAATATTATCAGGATGACACGCGGTAAAAGCATAACGGCGCGTTGCTCCACTTTAATAGAATAAATGATTAAAAACACATAATTAACAATAAAAAAAGTTGCGATAATAATTTAGAATTATTTAAATTAAATTTTCGTTTTATTACAGAATTGTTTTTTATTATTCAAACGGTAGTTGCTCACTTAATTTCTGGTAAAATTTTTATTCTATACAGCTCAATTCGACTGTGATATTGATTTACTTTATGTGACAAGTTCTCGTATCTGCGAACATGCATAATGCGTATATATTCGATAACAGTTTTCGAATAATAACTTATTCGTCGTCTTTGATAGATGAATTAGTTCAGATTTTCTTAATTAAACATCCACTCGTAATACCGGCCGTTGCGGAGAACCCTCTCGTTACTTTTCTTCTCTGCTTTCAAGTATTCTTTATTTTGACGTCCCCGCGGAAAATTCAGATTACGAAGTTAGCTCGCCGGCCGACGAAGAGGAAGAAGAAGCCACTCAGCTGCTCCGGGAAAGAAAGGAGGACACGCCATCTCCGCAAGCAGCGATTCGCGTGACTTTCGACCGGCAGAGAGACGCACTCGAGCAGCTTGAGGAAAACTTTTGCATCTTCGCGATCCAATTCTTCTCTTCTTTTTCTTTCTTTCTTTCTTTCTTTCTTTCCTTCTCTCCTCTCCCCCTGTCTTTCGCGAGGTGGTAGTCAGTCATTCGGTCCCGTCTCATTAATTCTTTCCTGTCTTCCGGGAAAGTTGTATCTCGGATGTTTCTTACCCCTCTCTTAAAACTGCCGGTCGACTCTCTCTCTCTCTCTCTCTCTCTCTCTCTCTCTTGCTTCTCTTTCTCCCTCTCTCATTTTTCATTCACCGCCGCTTGGAGAAAAGTGCACTTTAGCCGTGTCACCTGTAGACAAAGATACAAAGGAATATGCCGTGCATTTGCGAATATCACGTAGCCGGGCCACTGGAATATTTCATATGCCGTGAGTGCATGTCGTTGCTCTTAGGTCCGTATTTATAACCGACGACGCTTAGAACCGAAAACACGCGCGCGTCCTGTTTTATATATGGACAAATCCACGTCGAATTTACATGTCGGATATCTCTTTTGCCATTCGCAGCATCTCGGGCGTTTATACTCAGACGCGAAACGCCGTTATGGCTCGGGATGATCGCATGGAACGAGACAGATAGGCAGGAAATTCTCAAGTTTCGTCGAAACCTACCTCGTTAGGATAATTAAACTGCTAACTTACTTTCGATATTATCACCAAGTTGTACGGTAATAATATCGTAATTTCTCGTGTGTGATGTGCGCGAACGAACGTTTCGTCTCCTGAATAAGATCGATCAACAGATACGTAATAGGGGATCTATAATGGAAGTCGTAACGGTCGTAGGGTCTTAAGTCGTAGAAAATTGACCAATCATAGTCGATTATTCATATTTGATAGTGATTAATTTTTCACGACTTAAGACCGCTACAATTTTTATTGCAGACCTCGCGTAATCCAAGTCATTAAGTGTCTAAATTTTAAGAAGTAAAATGTAATGTTAAGCTTTAAGCTTTAAGTAAAAAATTGACCAATCATTGATTATTCTTTTCACATTCAACTATGATTAGTCAGTTTCTTATGATTTAAGGTTTAAATTTTAAGCATAAATTTTATCCCTTAAAATCTCATTTTAACGTCACTTTAGTTATGCAAAAAATAATACAATATTTAGAACGTAAAGCTCTCCGGTAAGATATTTTTAAGGAAGTGTTTCCGCATATATGTTTATCGAAATCGTTTTACTGAGAATTGAATTTAATTTCTATTCGATATCTCTGCCCTACCCCTCACTTCGTCCTCGGTTACGTTCAGTAAAAGCATTCTTTTACGTTGTCACCCGAAAGAAGAGACATTTAGCGATTTGCCTTTCGACGTTCCTCCTTCGTTTCAACCTCGTGGGTAATTGTTCAGAAAGCTATGCGTCTGGGTTTTAAGTAAATGGGGAGAGGAGAAAGGTAAGACGGAGAGGCCATTCCGTCACGAACTCCGAAAGTAATTTATAGAAAATGGACATTGTCGGGGAGGCGAAAATAAAGCTTCCGTTCGATTAAGGTCTCGAGATGAATGCCATCGAACGCTTGCATTCATCCGATTAATTTATATATCTACGTTCATGTATACATTAAACAAATGGCAAAAATAAAGCTCGCATCGTATAAAATTGTACGTTCTCTTTTTCAAGCGGTGCAATAATTATTACGGACAAATTTTTACCTGAATGAAATATTTTCTATCAAAGTTTTTCATTTTTTTGTATGAGATAAAATTTTTGTATCAAAATAGAATATGCATGCTAACAACAAGGGAGAAAATTTACCATTTATGAGCATTTTTTTAATAAGTTTCGAAATTTGAAATTATCCAGCTCTTTTAAAATAATATAGAAAAATATAAATATATATGAAGACAAAAATAGTAATTAGCATGTAAATATAGATTTTGCTAAGTCTAAATTATTAGTGTCCAATTTTTCCAATTAATTAACATAGTCATATATCTTATTGATTAACGTAGTTACATTAAAAATCAAAAATACAATTTCTAAAATACATATATAAATATATTTGTAATTAACAAATAAAAATTTAGTGAATGACATTAATTATTTATTTTTGAATATAAGGATAAAAATAGTGTAAATATGTCTTTTTTAAATAATAACTTTTTTAAATGATAACAGGTCTAATAAAGTTTTACGTTCTTCTCCTTCTCTCTCTCTTTCTCTCTCTCTCTCTCTCTCTCTCTCTCTCTCTCTCTCGCTTCTTTATTAATGTATTTTTAACATTAACCGCAAAAAAATGACTATTTGTAGAATCTGAAATGCGGGCTATTTCACGGTCACTATAAAATGGATGATGGGTCACTTTATCGAATTTTAGACGAATAATGGATCGATCATCGGTCACGTTGCCAAATTCATCTCGAGCGTATTGTAGAATAGGCGCTGAATTATCGATACACTTTGAGACACGCTCCGCTGCATTTTGCAATACATTCTCGATACAATGCCCGCGTATGATCGATGTTCCGGTATGTATGCGCGCGAGATTGCATTGCTGATAAACTAGGATAATATGCAATGTTTGTCCTTCCGCGAGCGCGCGATATTACTTCATTTTCCTTGTAATATACCGCATAAAATTTCTCCGAAATCTCATTTTATTAAACGGAGCAACGTATACGCCAAAAATTCTTAGATATTTCGCATTAAGTTAACATTGTTTTCATTTTTCGTTTAAATATTGCTTATAAAGTATGTAATTTTATATCGAGAAAGAGGATTTTCAAAGTCAACAAGGTATTTCGAATCAAATACTTTCGAAATATCAAAAATTCGTTGTTACCTAAATTCGTTGTTCTGCGCGACATCACTACTAACTCCTCTCAAGTGTATATACTCTGATCGATATATCGGCTTTCGTGTCAGGGCATCTAAATATTTTCTCACGGGGACTACACTTCATATCGAGACGTGTACGAACTTCCGGGGAAACTGGTTCACACGACAAAACTCCAGGCGCGAGCACTTTCGCTATCTTCTCTATATTGTTGATTTTTCAAGCTTAAGCACGTTGCTTTAAATCGTATACATTATCGCAAAATTGACTCGCAATGAAAATGGCATACGTTATTACTGAATGCAAATAGCTGAGCGATCATTTTTTCTGATGTAATTGATTTTATTTATTGAAATTGGAAAAATTAAATTTACATAAAAAATTGCCATAAAAAATCTTTCGAGTAGTTTTTAATTTTTCCGTTTCTGATAATACGGAAGCTCTTGATTTTCATTAGAATATTTATCGAAATTATTTTCATTTTCGATAAAATATCTTACTTCACTTGAGAGATCAGCGAAGTAGACAGATATATCGCTTCCGCCGGATCTTTGATGCATTCTCTTAAAAGCGAAATCAATGTTTTCCATTATTCACAGAACCGATAGTTTACCCTTTACACAAGAGAAAGAGAAGGAGAGAAATAGAGAGCGGATTGAGTTTTATGCACGATCAGAGAAAAATTCTTTTTAGTACGTACTTTCTGGTTAATTAATTGGATATTCTGGACCGTATCGATGTATCAAATTAAACGTTTTTTTTTTTTACTTACTTATAATTGTAGATGTTGCCACAATTGACTGCCTCATAAATCCTCCCCTTCTCCAATCTGCCCCGTGAACGCTTTTCCTTTTCCCACATTTTTCATTTTCCTCCTTTTCCTCGTATTCTCCCTCGTCTTCTTCCTTTTCTTCTTCTTCTTCTTCTTCTACTTCGCCAAGGGGACAAAGTCAATGTCAATGGCTCCTTCACCCTCCGGTTTTTCTTCCCTACCTTTCAGGATCTCCTTTCACCTCCCTGCCCCGTCACGATCATCTCTTCACCTTTCCACAAGATTCCAGGATTATGACGAAAATCTGACGAGCGCAAAGGTGGTTTCCGTCAGACGCATTTCGCATTTTTCAGGAACGCATTTTTCCGCCTCGCCAAACCGTAACTCTCGCGACCGGATAGATTCAAAAATCACTTTTCCACCTACCTTTGTTACGAGTGACTTTGTAGAGCCGAATTTATACATAAATTAAATAAAAAGAACGTTTTAAAAATGTTATTTCGGATAAATAATCAAGTTACAGTTTTAAAGACATCGGATTTGGCTTTAAATCAAATATAATCAATATGACTATTATAAAATAGTTCGAATTTACGATCTATTTTAGTTTTTTTTTTATTTTGTATTTGTTATTTAATTGTTCTTTGTTTCTTTTAATGAAAGAGTGCGCTTTACGTTAAATTGTTCACCGAGTTTCTAAAACACTGTTTCGAGAGGATTAACATAGCTCGAATTTCCTGATTGATTAAAGCTATATCGCGCACCTCTTTTCCAAGGTGGAAATCGCTTGTAAATGACGGACGTTTTTCCAGAACGAAAGGGAATCAATATCAATCGCACAATTGTTTGGAATGACGGGCGAGTGAGCAGGGCAACAGGAAAGCGAACGGTTCAAACTTCATGTCCCAATGCGTCGATAGTCCGGTCCACGGTTTTTCCACTTTCGACCAGGTACGATCGGGAATTCTTCGGAGACTCCAATTCACTGTTGCAAGTGGCCGTCTACGTTGCACCGGCGCTGTTCCTGCAATTGAAAAAGTTTGTTCAGCGAATTAACAATGGCCGACGTACGACGGTAAGTAAATGCTGAGTATATCTCGGAACGAACAAAGCTTCAACGAGGCGATATTCTCCGTCCTGAGAGACGCGTCCTTTTTCTCTTTTTCCCCTCCTTTCTCCTCTCTTTCTCTCTTTCTTTCTCTTTCTCTCTCTCTCTCTCTCTCTCTCTCTTTGTCGCTCTGGCTTTGTCTCGTCGCGTTTTCCTCTCGCTACTTGCACGAATAGCAGCAACTTTAAATGATTCCACGACACATTATGAAAGGAACGTGCCGCACATTCGCAGAGAGATAAAAGTTCTTTGCTGCGCTTCTCTACGATCGCACGTCTCGGTCCGACTTCTTCCTTCGTTCGCTCGCACCTCCTTTGTCCGCATTATCTAATTGCCTTCGCCTTTACGTTCGTAATTTTGCGCGATCTCATTATCGCGATTGGCATATTATCGGTACAGCGTTGTATTCGTTATTTCACACACGTTTCGTCTCGTGCGCCGCTAAGGGGTAGCTATAAATTTTATATAAATATTATATATAATGAGAAAACACGATTACAGTATTTCACGCGTGGGAATATATCGCGTTAAACAGAGTTCGATGAAAACGCTCTTTACGTAAATTTCGGAAAACAGCACACTGCGAAATAATACATTTCACAATTCTAATCTTAATAACGATATCGGTTTTTTTTTCGTTATGACGTAAATATAACAACGTCGTGCAAAAAATACTTGTAATACGCGCAATACGTAAATAAAGAGTACACAGCAAGCCCAGCGTGGATCACGCAGAACGTGCACATCGAAGTATATGTATTTTGCTTTATTTTTCTACATCCCAGTTTGCATTTTATCGATTTGTATGTTGAACGCCATTGCACAGCTTTTTAGTAGTGTATCACGGAGAAAAATCTACCACATTTCTATCCTTCTTCTCTTTTAAGAAATGATTACGTCCACATATCGCATTTGCTCGATATTTATTTTGATCTGCGTGAAAAATTAGGATTTTAACATTTCTAATTACAAGTTTTATTTTACAAATAAACGGAATAATTAATTAATTAAAAAATAATTTTGATGCTGTAAATTAGAAACTGTGCTTTATTTGATTTCATCAATGGTAATCAAAAATCGAGAGGATTATAATATACAAAAATCGAGAGGATTATAAAATAATAAAGAAAAGTATTTTTTATTGCACTTCAAAGGAGATATTATTTATGCATAAAAATTGAATTCAAGGAAGTAGAATTTGTACTATTAGAAAAGGTTAATATGGAAATTTTATTGAAAGGGAAATATTTTTTCTACAAAATAGAAAAAAAGGGACTCGCCCAGTATGCAAAATAATGAAAACAAACGAGAAATTTTCTAGATTGAGAGCTTCGGGCTGCAGGTATTTCAATCTTTGACAAACAAACCGAACAAGACGCATCTGCAACTCGCTTAGCGTAGCAGCACGCACGGCACCTGTTATTCCCTCGTGATTTAAAATATTGTACAAACCGCTTGTATATCATCTTAACCGGATATGAGAGCGGACGGAGATTATGCGGATAAATATATTAATAAGCATAGGTTCGGTTTATCTTTGTATAGGTCGGGGTGAATTACGCTGCATAACGTTATGCAACGATAAGGGGATGCTATAAATCATGAGACGCACTTTCGGAACGATCGACAAGAATCGAGGCACAACGGGATAGGAAAACGGTACAAAAAACATGAAATATATGATATTTCTATTGAAGCGATATGCAAAGTATTATATAAACGAGTTGCATATACGTTTTAAATTTATAAATTTATTGTACATTATATTGTAGGTACATATTTTATTTAATTGAAATTTGTTTCGTACTTAAATATATTGTTTTTTTTTTTTTTTTTTTTCGAAAACGATTGCATTTATTAAAGCTATAAATCCATTCCAAATATAGAAATAACAAAATCTAAATTTTGCAAGTTCCAAATTTTCATGAAATACTAGAAACTATGTAAACTGACCTTTAAACAACGACGAATAAACAACGAAACAAATATTTATTATCACGCGCGTTTGTCACGCACAAATCCAATTGTCGAGCGTGGAGGATCATTTTATATTTCATTGTCGCTTACTCCTCGGGATGATATGCGAATATTTCAGGAAAGATTGTGGACAACCGTCAAGTATATCGAGAAAGAGAGAGAAAGAGAGAGGAGAAAGAGGAGAGATTTTACCATCCCTTCGAATGTACGAGGATGTCGTCCTTAAGTGCAGCTCGATTCTTCCCCCAGCAGCAACGAGAAGCTCGATGCGACGACGACGAGCGATGTCCCGCATTTTCCGAAATATACTTCCCGCGTGGCACATGCATAGACGATCGGGCCGACGATCTCGTCTTTTCTCACACGGAGATTGAATTCGTCGGAGTAAACTCCATTCTGCGTCCTCTCGACGCGTGCGCGCGCCTGATCTCTATCCACCGAGAAGACCAAGTGGTCTTCTTGCTCTCTTTCTCTTTCTTTTTCAAACTCCGTTTGTGTATTGCTCGATACTTTGTATTCACCGTATAGACGGTGGTCCTCGACAGCTCGCATCAATCCAGCTGCACCGACCGTAGCGAGGGGTGTATTACTCACGTAGCGGGCGCGACTCCGTGAACGTTGTTTACGTCACCGTTACGGCGGTGCATCCACCGAAGAAGCGGTGGACCTACGTTTATTCAGACTTGGCCCTTCCGCACGTATGGCATATTTTCATTATTTATTTGTCCTATTATTTATCCTTTTATTAATAAAATAAACAATATCTTGCCTCTCTAATAACTGCTTTAAATTAATAATAATATAAAATAATAATATATATTATTATTTTATGTTATTGTTAATAATAATAATAATTTAATAACGACTCTATTAGTTTTACGTATATTCTTGTCATTTTGTTGGCTCTTTTCCCCTATTTACTTTTATATATTTTATTTCGATTTATAAATATATTCTCTGCTTTAATTCTAGAGAATAATGCAGTATTGTGAAAGTCATCTTTTCAACGTGATGCGAATTTATTCAGACGATCAGAACTGCACGTTAAGCGAAATGTTAAGTATTGACTGTTCGCTATTTTAATTCCGAAACTCTTCGAGAAACACCTGCGATCTGAAACATCCGGCAGAAAAAAGTCAATATCCTCTGTATCTAATGACGTTTTTATGCTCTCTTGATGGCCAGTGAGACTGAGACTTTAGTGTATCGACGTGCTCGGACTTACTTCCGTAGCTGCTATGCGGTATCTTCGGGAAATGGAGATATGCAGATTAGATGAATAACAATTTTGCGTGTTCGTGACCTCCGCCGGCGAATGGAGGATGCGATGCGTAATCAAGAGATACTCGACATAAATAACACGAATAACTGTCACGATTCTTGCAGATGTAAAATTACTATATTATCATAATTTTCCATAGAAAAAATACAATTCTCGTACTATAGCGCGAATCATTAAATGTATGATCTGTCTTAAAATGTTGATTTGTTTAAAGATGACTATTATGTAAGAAAGTCAAATAATATACAATAAACGTTACATTATATTTCCGCCGAGGCAACATTGATTTCATATCCTCCTCAATGCGAAACTCTATCGTGAAATATTTTTCTTTGGACATCCCGTACATTTCTGACGAATATTTCAACCGTACCGGCCGCGATCCTCGCGGTATTTAAACGCGGGATTTGTAGGAACCGCGTAAATCGGCTTGGCGCGGCTAATCTCTCTTCGCCGCGAGTCGAGTTACCTTGCAAAAATAGCAGAACGGGGTTTGAGTCCGTCCGTCGAACACGCGCGTTAGCGCAAAGGCAAGAATAAAAAGGATTAAGTGGTAGGAAGTGGGAAAAGCTTCGACGCGCGAAACAAAGTTCGTGATTTGTACACAGAAACGAGCGAACCGCAGGGGCGAGAGGTAAAAACGAAACGAAATCGTCCTCGATCGCGGATACTCACCGTCTTACCGTTTCGTGCTCGATTCCAATTTGTCGAAAAATATAAAGAAAATCGCGTGTCAAAAAACTTTGGCGAAGTCACTGGCAGACGACGATGCAGCAGCACCGGTGGCACGATATTACGAGAGAGACGTCGGAGTGGTTCTACGGTAAGATTTGGCATTAAAAATGTCCTCTTATTGCAGCGCTAAAGAAGGGAGAGATTTCTCATTGCGACTCCCTTCGCCGACGACAGCACCCTCCCTCCAAGAATGATTTAAGTACCCTCATTGCGTTGAGCTTCTTTCATTTATATTTTCAAATACCTGCTTCTCCGCCCAATCATGATTCTCTGTACGTTTCTCTATCGTTTTTATCCGAGTAGGAAGAGGGTTCTCTTTGCGAATAGCCAGTAGAAACGACGCCGTCTCTCGTAAAACGACAAAGCCTCCGCACCATTTATAAGCTTATGTGGGTAGGACACTGTAAATACGCGAGTAACTTTAGCACTGACAAACGGCCGTAGTCAAAATTTTCCCGTGAGAATATTGTTGTGTTTCATACTCAGTTTGTCATTTTCATTTGTGGTCGATTAAACCTACACATAAGTTGTCGCGTCGCAATTAATTCTTCCACGTAACTCTGTATTCTATTTTACGATGTTGATGCTGCGTGCTGTAATTTATGCCAATGTCATATATTTCCTTCTGTTTTACTTTTTTTTTTTCTTCGTCTTCCTGATCTCTTAAGGGAATGAATACTTCTTAACGGGAGGCCATAAAAGTAGGAACTAAAAGATACTAAGCACTTCGTTTGATTTTATCACTTTAATTTAAATCCGACAACGAGAGAAACGTAAGCAGCTCGAATGGGAGATCAGGATTTTCTTCGAGGCATTCTCCTTTCTTGCAGAGGCTGAGGATGGTCTCCTCACTGGATGCGGAACTGTTCTTAGAATTTTTATGGGATACCGGTATAATGTAAGAGACGACTGTCGTACTCGTACCTGCGTAGAAACAACCACTCTCGGCATACCGACGATGCGATGGGGTGCTATTACGCGCATAAAAAAAGAAGTTTACTCCCTGATACTGCCTTCTTGAGACCATCCCTACGTCGACATACTGACGAAAATATTAAAGCGAAGCGCTTTATAGTCGCCGCGCATGACTTTAATAAAATTCAAAATATTGTCCCGTTTCAACGTATCGCGACATTTGCAGTTTCTTGTAAATAGCAGCGCGATGAAACATTCGTGAAATTATGTTGTTCATTTTGCATTCGTCTATTTTGCACACATAGCAACAGGAATCAGAACACATCAGCAACAGGATGCAGAACGAAATCTCTCTGTGAAATACGACAAACAATTAAAAGATAGCTAACAGTAAGAAAAAATTCTAATTGGAATCCTAGATTATGAGATTAACGATTGTCACGTATGTATTTATAAAAAGTTTTAAGACTATTAACTCTTAAACACCTTTTCGATATAATACACCCGGCTTTTTCCTAATAGTTTTCCAATGATTTTTCCATTGTTTATAATTACTTTTATTACTTTTATAATAAAGATATATACATTTTTTTATATTAACAAAGATATATACATTTGCTTGATATCAAGTAAATGTTCTTCATTGTCTGATATTTTGATTGAAAAAATTTACAATGTGTTCATTTTTTTTAAAGTTATAAGTAATCGAATTGGGTTCAGTATATCATATAAGTGTATATGTGTCGGAATGTAGATATGCTTAGGAGTTAATATTTCTGTTTACTGTTGCATTTAATTTAAACCACCGTATTTCTTATAATTTCTTAAAAATAAGCATGAATTTGCAATCAAGCAAATTTATTAAGCAATTATTCTTGATGCACATAATTGTTGCAAAGCAAGTATATTATTACTCTCGAAATATATTTATTTTTTAAATTTACTTCGTACATAAATTTAAAATATTTAGAAAACACATAAATTTATTATTTCTTTTCATCGATTTTACTAATAAATTTAAGTAGCGCAGAAGGTTTGAGAAGCAATATCTGTTTTGCAATATTTTTGTCGTATTTTTGCTGACTAATGTGATTAATCTCAGATATTCTGATTTCTGCTTGTAAACGAGATTCAACGACCGACTTCAAAAAATCGACCGGAAACTTACCAGCCAGTCCATGTTTTCGTCAACTCATCTCCATCAAATCGTGATTTGCTTAGGGTAAAAAGGTCTTCCTAATAAGATAAACCGAGTGGGAGAACTGACGGATGAAGGGGCGCGTGCACGCTCCCTTGAAGCTTAGTCACGAGACTTTCGCCGAATCAGGAAAATTATAATTCTCGTAAGTGCTGCTGCTTTGTCGCGATTGAGAAGAGTCGGCTTTCTTGGTGTGCGTCTTTCGAGTCGCGCGCGCTCCATACGTTTCCCATCCAAATAATTTTCCGGATACTCCCGACTTGTCCGATCGGATAAAGTGGGATGACAAATTGGAACATATTACAAGACCGAAGAAACATTATTGGCGCTCGTGGAGATTCGTTTCGTCGAAAGTGGACAAGAATCTCATTGTGATCCTTTTCACAATAGAAAAATATTCTACTTTTTACGAGATAAAAAGCGAATCCTTTTGTAAAACTGATAGACATGAAATGTCGTTACTGAAAAATAAAATTATTTCGCTATATTATTTTTTTTTTCACGATGTCCTTTGTGTTACGCTATTACGTAACACAGGGGACATTATACGTATTGCTATCATTAGAAAAATGAAGAAACAATAGGCACAATAGCGCACAAGTGGAGTATAACATGACATTCGCGAGTGGTCATCATTGTGGTCAATGTGGACACGACTAAATTTCAGATTTCATCGAGCCAATAATGTCTGGTATAGAATATCGGAATTTTTATTATGTATGACAAGCGAAGCAGACTGCACTGTTCAATAAACATTTCTCTATTTTTCATTTCTGCTAAATATGATTTTGACTGATAAAAAATTTATGCTACGCTTCAAATACTGAATACAATACGATTTTGATTGAACTAACTGTCGGACCAAAATATATATATATATAATTGGATTCATTTCCGTAATACATAAAATTTCTCTGTCTCTTTCTCTCTCTCTCTCTCTCGCAAAACAAAAAGTGGAGAAATTTTCATATTGCACGTCGCTTTGTTTTTTTTACAGAGCATATTTTACATCCGTGATATATTGTTATCCATACAACGGTAATGAAAATTCTATGAACAAATTTGTGCAATTTTTCATGACTCTACACATGTAGATTCGTGCTTAATGTAATACTGTCGCTTCTTTTTCAATTCTTTTCTGTCTCTTTAAGCTGCACACTTTTAAACGAATCGCGAAAATGAAAGGGACCACATCGGCTTACACTCTTCCATCGAGTAATCGTTTTATCTTCAACGATGCGTTTGACGTACGTAGTATTTGCAATCGACTCGTTTAAGCTAAACGAATTTTAATGTAGACGCTTTGGAGGATCAGCTTTTAAATTTAAATTGCATATAAGTCCGCAAAAGCACACCGAAGAGAACCGATTGTATATATCGAGAACGCGATTTCATTCTCCTAGATATTTTTTCTTGTTTCAATAATCCGTACAAGGGAAAAATTACAAATGAAATAAAATCACTTTGTTACACATTTTATATAATTCTCATAATTATTTTAATTATATATTTAAAAAGCACGATATTTAAAATCGGACATATTTCATAGACTTTAATATCATTTTTTTTTTGTTTATTGAAACATAAAATGCTTCTTTAAAGATCAATTTACACTGACGCGATTGATAAATTAGTGGTGCAATATGCACTTAATTTTTCTCCGCGCGGAGTGAGATTAAATGCGATCACTGGATCCAATTGGAGAACGCAGTGTTAGCTGGACGAAGTGACAAGAAAAATGAAGGATGGTCGAGCGATTAACCGTTGGAATAAAAGTGCGATATTTTAGAACGTCCTTGAAAATACGTTGCCTTGAAGAGGATGAGAGTTGAAAATTGTCTATAATCTCTTAAGTATGAAGACCGTTAAAAAGTACTAAGAAGTCAAGAGTTGGCGATAAGTTTTTTAAAGATATCGCGAGCGAGAATCCGAAGGATTAGAGTATGTAGAAAGAAGCAAGTCATGAAAAAATTACGTTAAAAAAGAACCAAATGTGTGAAAGTAATTCTTCATATATTTTGTAGTTCTCAAGGGATTACATTGATTATATTAAAAGAAAAATTTTTGAAGAAAAGAATATCTGCGGAAAATTTCTTCCGTTTGGCTTCTTGGAATATTCACAATATCGTCATTGAATATAGGAAGACACTGATATTGAGATTAGAAGGAATCGCACGTAAAATAAGAGTCCCAGTGTGCCAAATATTTTCAGAGTCAACGGAAAGTTTCTCGGATGACTCTCCGTCTTCAGCTTAGGTCCTAAGATCTTTTCCAGGTCTTCTTTCGATTTTCTCAACATCTCTGTCATTATTTA